AACAACTAGTTATGTGTATGTGACATTTGTTAAGCTATTATATCTTATCTTGTAAAACATGTTTAACATATAAAAGAACACAACATGAAAACAAATTATTCTACTTGTTATAAAATGTTGCACAACATGAAAAAATTGTTCTACTTACGATAAAATATTTTAAAATATTCACTCATTTGATAAGACATAAAAAGTCATCTTATCGTCTGCGGTGAGAGTTTTCTGCAATGAAACAAATTGTTCTGGCATAAAAAATGTTATAATCAAATAAAAAACGCTGAAATTAGTATCTATTGATTTTGTACTTATTTTCTTTGACACCATTAACATAAAGAATAACACAATTATTTCACATATAATACATAAAAAAAAAATGGCTGAGAGATAGTAAATAGAGAGACGGAGTGAAAAGAACGGAAAGGAGCAACACAACTTTGTAAGATAAAAAAATCTCGGAATAACTGAAAAAAAACCACGTTTCTTGAGGGAAGCTGTGGGGGAGCAAGGAAAAAGTTAAGACAGTAACTTTTTAGCCTTATACTTGTACATAATACTGAAAAATATACACCCTAAAAGCTTCAACGACTTAAAGGTAGTGTGCTGGCCTCCTCGTCAGAGAAACTAAAGAGGTTGTGGGTTCGAATCACGCTGTAAAATGTAACAATTTTGTCTCACACTTTTTCGATGGGATGAGTACTCAAGATGCCGAAAAGCTACTAACTTGATTTTTCATACAAATGGTGGATTTTTCTGGTGATGTCTTGACCTCTAGAAAGAGCTTTCATTCAAAGGAAGCCAACACCTGATCAGTTCATTCATAAAGTCACTATTTCTTGAAAAAAAAGTTTGTACAATGAATTAAATGGTTCATTAAAAAAGATCCTTTCACTAAACTCAATTTTAGCTGGGGTGTACTCGAGATGACCGCTGCGACTTGTAAGTAGTACCCAGTAGGATGGTTCACTGAGTTGTCTGAGGGAAACTTATCAAGAGACCCTTCCAAGAGACTCGCATACTTGGGCTAAGAAAAGGAAAATCGGGGATCAAAAGAATTAGGATGATAAGGGTTCAGGTTGTAGGATGCGTAAAAACCTTACAAATACGTGTATGTCGAATATAAAATACTATACTGCACAAAACATATGTCTTCCTCTATTATATAATTATATGAGTGGATTTTTGCACACCTACTGCTATTACCCCAGTAAAAAAAATGTCAAGTATTTACAACACTTTTTGCTATAGAAAGTAGCTCTAAGTAACTTTTTTTTTTGTTTTTTACTGTTTATAGGCATACAAAGTGAAAAAATGTTTATTACATTTATACCAAAAAGCGTTAGAGAGTCTGGGCATGGAAAAAAGGTGTAGAAAAATAATGGAAAGGAGCATGAAAATCCATGAAATTTATTGAATTTAAATACTACCGAAATAGAATATATTTTTTTTGTGTTTTAAGTGCAAAAAATTTGATAAATTTACACCATTAAATATTGTAGTACATAAAAAATATTTTACTTATAGTTTTAAATAGCGGGATAATTAGGGTGGCTCACAGAGACCTGGTGATTTCCAACAGAATGATAGGGCTGCGTGCCCATGACTTTTGATTTAGATAAATATGGTAGCCAGTAGCACAATATGCAGCTGTGTCTGTCATTCAATAAGCCAAAAGTTCTGAAAATGCGGATAGACTGTCCGCATACTCTGACGAAGTTCACTTAAAAGACCTTTTGAAAACAACTATTTTTCTCGTCAGTTTTCGCGAAATCTCGAAATACACTAAACCAATTTTACTGAAGACTCGATAACAAAATAGTTACGTAACAACTGAATGATCTAAGTGGGCTGAAAAAGAGAAGTCTGACTATATTTAAAATACGACGGCTTATAATAACAGTACTCAAAAATGTTCGTGAGGAATTGACCGAACAACAACATAACTTCAGTTACTGTAAGTGGCAAGTAGAGGGGGAAGGGGGGTTATTACCAGATTTGGAAAACAACAGCTTTTCTCTTAAGTACATTATGGTTAATCACAGCGTATATTAATTTTGTTTCATAAACTTAATTTTGATACTGAATGTGCCATGAACCAGCTACCTTTTATCAGCTACGCTCTATGTAGCCAACTAAACAAATATCTATAGTAAACTTTATCACAGTGTTTATAGCATGGCTTACATTGAAAGAACACGTTTACCTAAAACATAATTAAAAAAATTATCCGTGTCGCTAACTATGCAGCAAGACTAAGAAACTCGTGCTAAAGTATTGATTTAAGCGTTGAAGAATGTGCCTGTCTTATTTTAGTTATTTTAAGGACTTTGTTGCCTATATCTTCCGGTACAGCGACGAAAGAATAGAATTAAAGGTATAAAATAAAAGCAAAACCATGCATCTACCAGTTTGTATATATAAATGTTCGTATGCATAGTCACATACTGCATAAATATATGAATACAGTAATAATACATTGTGTTCCTTTAAATTAATCAAAAGAAGCAAATGTATTTTAATAACGAAGCAACATTAAGCGCATCTCAGGAAGGCTAGAGGAGTAGGGAAATAGAAATAGGGCACGAGGGGAAGAAGAGGAGAGCAATCAGATAAACTTGGGACGTAGTTAAGTTCGCAGGAAATAATTAACAGCCAGACATGAATCCTTGACGAAAAATTTATTTGTATGTATTTTTTGCCGTAGAACATTTTATTGAAATTTAGCCACTGTAAACGTTGTGCTCAATTTTATAACTAATAAATTAAATTGTTTTTTATATGGTTTGCCAAAAAATAAGCTCTGATAAAGGTTACCAAGTATAAGGTGCCATTTTTTGTACTTTTTCTTTAGCTATCCTGCAGTTCCACATGTGACTGAGTATTTCCATTTTGTCATTGAACGTACTTTATGTAGACAATTCAAAATCTTTATTTCTTTTATTGTCTACATTGCTGCATCTCATTCTTGGCTACTATTATTCATAATTTTTCTAACTTCCCAAAATTTATTTCCTATAACGGTTTTCACTACACTTAGATCTGATAATTTCCATACATTCTAACTGCAGTTTAAGTTACGTTTCAACCGTACTTAATATGAAGCTTCCCTTTATTTTTTTACTTTTGGATCCTCATAAAGTTTTCGTACCACTTATTTTTTCCAAAGCTCTTGCTTCATTGCTTTATCCTGGTCTATTTATGCATGTTTTAGAACACATTTATTTTTTTTGCTTTTAGAGTCATTGTTTGTTTATTTATAAATTTTTTTTTAAGAGTTTCTCACAAAAAACCACGTTTCTTGAGGGAAGCTGTGGGGGAGCAAGGAAAAAGTTAAGACAGTAACTTTTTAGCCTTTTATAATTTTTTTTTATTATTTTAGTAATTATCCCTGATGATGTTGTGGTAGAAGCACTAAAATATTGGAGTATAATACACACGTAATTGCAACTAGAATAAAAAGCATGCTTAGATACACTTNAATTTTTTTACTTTGCATTTTTACTCTATAGCCTTGTGGTGCGTGCTCTTTTATCTGTATGAAAATTACCTTTTATCTCTTTCTATCATAGATGCACAAATAATTTTTTTTTATATGGAAGTTTTGCTATTTTCGTGTTCTTTGCTTGAGATTTTGTTTCATACGTGCGCTACTTACAGACGCAAAAAAAAATTTGTAGCTCTTCTGATCTCAATATTTTTGTGCACTTTGTCGTTGAACTAAAAAAGATTAGTGAAACAGGAAACTTAAATAGTAATTTTTGTACCATGGGCGCAACTTACAAAAATCTCGCCCTAAGTGCCGGGTTTTTGAAAGTTTGTGCCCAAAATGTGAATATCGATTTTATTTTCAAGGGCACAAATTTTGACTTCGTACCAGTGGGCGATTTTTGCGCCCACTTATTACTTTGCGTCCTAAGGCGGAAGAGTTATGCACACTTGTAGATGAAAAGTGATTTAAGGGCGCAAAAGTGAGTCCCGAAGATGCAAAGACTTTGCACTCATGGAAAAAAAAAATTCAATTAACTGATACACTAATTTTTTTTCATTACAATACGAATTCACTAGATGCAGAAGCTCTATGCATGTGACTTAATCGGTTTTCTGCCATGTATGGTAAAGTGCCACCCACTCAAAATTATTTAACCCTCTGTCACTGCTTGCTTTCCCTTCTAATCGGCGTAAAAAATATCTAATATACTACACACTTGAAATATGATAATAAGAGTGCATAAAAAAAATAAAAAATAAATAATGATAACTTAATCTTAGAAAACTATAAGAAAACGCTTAATTACAAAGGGAAACCCAAATAGTCTAAAATAGCGATTTTTATGGATGTCCAAAAGAAAAAAAGAATGTACCGAGATGCACAAATAGAGTGTCCAATAACAAGGACAAAAATGTAACCTACATTTTTCTTATACTTAAGCTCTATTTTCATGAAATTTGTATAAAATAAAAGAAATTAGCACACTTACGATAATAGTAAAAGAAACAGAAATAACTTCGACATAATTTTATTGCAAATTTACTTTTAAAATACTATTTTCCATAACATCAAGAATCAACTTCGTTAAGTTTTACTTTCGATTTTGACGGGAGTCACGAGATCAACACCTTCGTCTTTTTGTATCACCTTCACAGGGGCTCGTTATTTACTTTACACTTCTTGCAAAGCTTAACTAAATAAAAATACTTATTTTCTTCGCTTTTTCTATTACTTATCTAGCGTTAATACATCCATCTATTAATTACTTTTTAAATTGTTTACTTTTTTAAGTATTTTCAGTCAGTATTAGCAGTGCCTTTAATGTTAATTGTAGTATACTTATACTACCGCATATTGACAACTAAGTGCGAAATTGACATAACAAAAAGGAGCCACTTACGCATTTTCCAACGCTCACATACATTTACTAACAAAGTTTTCAGCTTTTAGTCATCGTAAACACAGAAACAATTAAATAACTAGAGAATAAATGAAAAAATTACTTATAACTTACGTGTTCAGTCACTACGGAGTTAACTTTTCTCAAGCTATCAGAAAAATCAATCCACTGTAGTTCACTTTGTGACCACATTTCAGTTACCCTTTGGGTTCCTTTGGAATCTTTTATTTCCGATATTAATTCAGCTATAAGTTCTGCAGCTTGTCCATCATCCCGCAATTTTGAGGGTAAGAACTTTAAACACTCTTTTATTTCTGCAAGTGAAAACTCATTACTGACAATCGGATGCACTGAAAATCAAATCGTTAATGAGAATAAATAACAGAATGAAAGAAGATTTGTTTTTTTGAAGTCTTCATATAATTAGATAATTAGATTAGTAAAGCCCATTATCAAATTTTTATGATATTTATAAATTGCAATGCATTGCAAGTCAGTGCATTACTTATGCTCAAGGTTCAACAATACATAGGAAATTGAATACTTGAAAATCAAACTTAAAGTAATGATGTCAATAGTAATCATATTTAAAACACACATTGTTATATATTTCAGACAAATAAACACTATACATTAAAAGTAACAAACCGTTTAAACGTAAATAAGTCTACATTAAAGTTGATGATTAAACATGCCCTCTAAGAATCTACAGAAAAAAATAAATAAATAAATAAATAAATAAAAACTTCTGGAAAAATAAAAAAATGCAATGTTTCTATTGTGAAAATGTGCTACTTAATGAAGAAAAGTTTTCTTGCTAAACGGTTTAATTAAAAAAATTTATTGAAATTCGTTAATATTGCTTGCAAATAAAACATGAGCAGTACTTTATATCTAGATTTTTTGGATTAAAACTAAAATCTGGAACAATTTTTTGATTTAGTTTTTTACTTTCCTAAGTTTTAAAAATCCTAAGTGACAAACTGTTTCCTGACAAATTTTTCTAAACTTCTTACACACTGAAGAATGAGATTAGTGTGGACTACCATTTTCAAACCAAAACAAGCTAAGAATTAGGAAAAATGAGTTTTTGTAACAGCACATTAACAGAAATGATTACAAACTGATATGCAGATGATCTGAGTGCTATAAACACAAATTTCTCTCTCTCTCTCTCTCTCTCTCTTTCTCTCTCTCTCGGCTTTCGGAGAAAATTTGACACCTTGGATCATGGATTTCTCTTACTGGCAATGACACAGATAGGCTTTTCAAAGAAATCGGTTAGATTTTTCCACTCCTACTTAACTCATAGAAAGATGACAATCGCTGACTTAAATGGTGACTTTATTAAGCCCCAGAAATCCACATTAGGGATCCCACAGGGCTCTTTGACCAGCCCTGTCCTGTTTCCAATTTTTTTTAACTCCCTTCTGTCGTGTCTCTGTTACTGTAGGGGTAGCCTCTTTGCCGATGAGCTCCAAATATCCGGTGCACACCGGTGGACATACCGGATGTGGTGACGCAATGGTCTGAACCTAAGACCTTGGCATTATAAATCTGTTTCAATTTGTCAATCTCTCTTTCTCTCTCTCTCACTGTGGATGTGTTTTTGTACATGTGTGTAATTGTATAATGTAAAATTAAAAGCTATTTTATTGAAGAGGTGTGAGTAAAGGGGGTACGCGAAATAAAAACGAGTATTTTATAGAGAGACAAAACGTTTATTTAATTCAACTGCCGACCGACGTAAGATATAACTGACTTGATACAGTTTACAGACTTACTACTGACAAAACTGACAAAGACAATAAAGAGAGCTGACGAGAGGTGTAGAAGGCACGGTAGCTTACACTATACTGACTATAGGGCCCGCAAGTATCACCTTGCCTGTGGCGCTGTCTTACACAATATATATCCTGCCTATTGAAAAGTCGTACATGCCAACACTTCCTCCCAACTTAAGATAGCTAAGTATATTAAACAAAAATTATAATTCAAAATAGATAACAAAAAACAATTGTTTTTTTTTCTTCTTTTTTTTCATAAAATAAGTAAATAAATGTGTGTTCTTGACTCGGCTCCACGGCTCTGGGAATGCACCCAAGTAGTCCATGAGTCGATCCATGGCTCCTTTATTGCTTATCTGAAACAGGGACAACTTATTAGTTACCAGTCAGAGTCGCAGAAGCTGTTCGCGATTCTGCTAGCAAATTTTTTATGGAGCTCGATCGGTAGAGATTTTGTGAATATATCGGCCATCTGTTATTTAGTATTCAGCCATCTGACGTTTACTCTACCATAATTTACACATTCTTTAACATAATGCTCATAAATTTCTGTCATATGTCTTAATTTACCACTGCCTATAATTTTAGCATTTTTCTCAGATGCCTTATTGTCGCACCATAGATCTGCCAGACACCAAGTATTATTCAGTATGATTTTAATCAAATTATCAACTGCCATCAGTTCTCTACATGCTTCACTCAGTGACACATGCTCTGCCTGACATGTTGATAAAGACACATACGTTTGTTTGTGAGTTCTCCATGCCACTGAGTCTCCAAAGATTTTAATTACGTAATTACTTGTGTTTAGAGACTCTTTACAGTCGCTAAAACTGGCATCAGAGAATGCTTCCAGCCCTTGCTGCCTTCCACAATATCATAGACCATAAGATTTGGTCCCTGCCAGATACCGAAACACTCTTTTAAGCATATTCCAGTCTTCGTTAGTCGGACTTATTTAATGCCTGCTCAGCACATTCACTGCATAGCTTATATCCGGACGTACAGTATTGGCAGCATATAATAAGCTCCCAAAAGCCTCCGGTTAGGGAACGCTTTCAGTCGATCTAGACTCATTTAAGTCAATCTGCCTTTCTGATTGCTCTCTTTGTTTTCTTTGTTGATTTAACACGTCACCTGTGACCATAGGAGTTTTTACTGGCTTAGAATCATCAAATCCAAACTTCTTAAGTTTCTTATTTATGTAATTGGTCTGAGTTAAAGTTAGAACTTGGTTTTCTCTGTCTCTTCTGACTTCAATGCCTAAAAACGATTTAACTTCTCCTAGGTCAGTCATTTTAAACTCACTTTGCAGTCTTTTTTTCACAGACTTCAATTTGCCAGTATCATTACTTGCTGTAAGCATGTCATCAACATAGAAAACCAACATCAGAATTTTATCTGCCTCATGCCAAGTAAACAGGCAAGGTTTCAAGATGTGAGATCTTAGACCTTTTTTCGTTGCAGCCTCCGACAATCTTTCATGCCATTTTTTCGGACTGACTTTAAGGCCGTAGAGGGCTCTCTGAAGCTTGCACACCTTGCTCTGTTTTTCCAGATCGGAACAGACCAAACCTTTTGGTAACTCCATATATATCTCGTTGTCAAGAGTACCATTCAAAAATGCCGTTTTAACGTCAAGCTGACATGTATCCAAATTTAATTTATTGATTACAGCCAAAGCTGTTCTTGTTAAAGTCAGTCTTGACACCGGGGCGTAAGTCTCCGTAAGATCATACTCATTTTTATCTTTAAAACCCCGTATTACCAGCCGTGCTTTGTATTTCTCACATCCTTGAGCATCAACCTTTTTCTTAAGAACCCATCGGGAATCGATGATATTCAGACGTTTACCATTTACCAGTCTTGCAGGTCTGTTTATCAACTTCCAGACTTCATTATTTAACTTACCGACCGAGCTCTTTGAATTTTTCGACTTCTTATTTAATTTTATATCTGCAGTTGAATTTTCAGGAATAGTGTGCGCTTTTGACTCAGCCGTCAAGACTTTCATTCTTTTGTTGTCCGACTTAACAAATTCAACCATCCAATAGGGTTTTTCATTTATTCCCGATATCCATACATTTTTAGTATTAGGATCGAAAATACTAATCTCCTTGTCATCTAAATAGATCGACAAGCCCATATCAGCAAATTTCCGTAGCGACAACAAATTCCCGATCAAGTCGCGAGCACACACCACTCCCTTTAACTCAACGTCGTTATTGCAATTTTTAAGCAGCAAATTTCCCACTCCCTCCGTTTTCAAGTCTGCGGATGAGTCTGAGTTTGCACATTTTATTTTATCAATTTTGTTTCTGTCAATATTTGTAAAAAAATTTTCTTACTTTGCAAAGTGATCAGTCGCTCCCGAATCAGCGACAAATTTAATCTTATTTTCTCCATCCGATTCTGAATTATTTACCCAACCTACAGAGTTTGAAAACAGAGTATTGGGAAGCTCGATCAACGTCAGAGACTCACGTTTATTTGACCCTGAAGCATTTTGTTTTTCCTTTGTCTCCCGGCCCTGGTCAGAAACTTTCTGCCTTTTGGAATCTTTTTCATTTATGACGTTGCTAGAGTCCCTTTTCTGCCCAAAGTTTCAGAAATTAGAGCGGCCTCGGCCACTGCCACGGCCACCACCGCGGCCACCTCGATTCCCTCGACTTCCACGGCCCTGCCTTTTAAAATCCTATGAATCAGACTTATTTTGCTCACCACATCTCGGGCTGCATCTCTTGTGAGCTGGGATGTCATGCACGAACGTGCCACACGTGTAGCACTTCCTGAGTTCAGTACCTGCCTTCGGACACTTGTCAGCCATATGGTCCCAGTCATCACAGTTGAAGCAGCGGAGGCGGTCCTGGGGCCAAGATGCAGTCAAAGCTGCCCTCGTGGGGCGACCTCCAGTGGCTTCTGCTAGGCACCTTTAACATGTACGACATGAGGTTTTCATATGTCATACCCTTTCTATCTCTGCTTTGCATTTTAAGCGTGAAGTCTGTCACCTGCACGCTAGGTACCGCCCGATTACGGCAGTATAAAAGGCATCTCGCTTTTCTTCTTCAGAATAAAGACCAGACGTACTTATAGTCTCATAATTTCTGACCAGTTCCTCAAATTTCTCTATGAATTTGGCAACCGATTTTTTCCCTTTGTAAAATTTAATTTTATGCAATTTTTTACGAATCGCGGCCGTTGTAAGGGGCATCTCCTCCTCAAGTTCTTTCAGACTTTCCACTATTTCAACCGGATCTTGCAGACGAAAAGTTCTTAAATGATATTTTTCCGTTACTCTACTTAATAAAATATCTCTGACTTTTAATTTGTCTTCTTCGATCATGTCTTCGTTAATAAATTCCGTATTTTTAATCGAAGGATCAATGACATTTAGTAATCCTTTAGACCGGAGTTTAGACTTAAATTTATCGAGGAAAACTTCGAACTTCATATCTTTAGACAGATGATATTTGTATATGTGTTGAGTATCACGGCCGAATTCATGTATTTGATTGATGGTTGTCGCGAGAAGTTCCGCGCTACCTTTAGATAAATTTTCA